ACATAGGGATAAAGGCAAAAAAAATGATAATAACTGTCCTTAATGATATTTTCAATGCAGCAACTATTCTCTTAAATAAAGAATTGTTGAAAGTTAAGTATGTACATTAATAAACGAGCATAGATTTATGTTACTTATTGAAAGTCTGATATAAAAAAAGGTTTTAAATGTCCTCCATTTCTAATATTTCTAGATTTGTGACAGCAAAATATGTTTTCATGTGACTCCATTGAGTATATTTATAACCAAATCACGTAATAAAACGTCAATAATTAGAGGTTAGAATTTTATAGTTATTAGCTTAGAAACATGTACTTACCCACAATAAATCAAACACTAAGGTAACGGCCATAACTATCTACGTCTCCATAGTTCTCTTTCCTAGACTATTTGCACCCATCTCGATCCAGCATGCTGTTTTGTGTCAATCTGATCATTTAAGTTGTGATCTTCCTCCGTGTCGTTTATTATTTCATAGTCTTCAACACATAATTATATTTACATCTCTTGTCTCTCTATGTTAGAGTATGTCCAGAAACTCTCCATTGAAGTTTTGCTACTTGAGGTAAAACATCTTTTACTTTTGTTTTATTACGAATCCCAGATATTTCTTATTATAGTTCTGAAATTATTTTCTTGTGAACTTTCTATGGTATCTACTATATTTAACGGAAATTATGCGATTTCTTTTTATGGCTAATAGTTTGATATTTGGTATTTGTCTTTCCTTAGATCAGTGTGTTTTCGCTGTATTGTCTCTGTAGTTTGTTGATGACAAACGTTTATGTTTGAGAGTTGTATGTTAGAACCGATAGTACACGCTAATTAAAGACCGATGCTTTTATATACAGAGGGGTATTGCTCATTCCTTAGTTTACCAAAGAGTTTAACAAATTCTGTCTTTCATTCTCAATCACACATCTGCCGGAGACAGTAGCATTAATTATTAATTATTAGAAAAATATTTGATAAACTGTTTTTTATTCAAAAGAATATCGTTAAAGTATAATTAGTGTTATTAATTAATCAGTTATCCAAAGAAATCAAAATAAAACAAGTGTTATTTTTTACTTAACACCGACTTAGAAGTGTGCCATCTTCTTAAGCTGGATATTAGGTAAATAATATGTACTTTATCAACAATATTATTTCCACTGCCGATGGCACAGTCCCAAATGGGCTACCAAGATCAAAACCAACAGGTCATGACTCAACAGATGTCAAGTTTATCCACACCAATGCACCCAATTATACCACAATATTTATAACAACCAAAACCTTCGCCATTTCATCCAAACCTAGTACACCCACAAGCATCCCAATACATGAATAAACAATCGTAAAGAATAAAACAATCGTGCCCACATGAAGAAAATGAAAAAAGCAAAGAAGGTAATGATCAACAAAACAATTACAAAAATGTATCTAAGCTTCCACCGATAACCATATATAATGTATGTGTAGTATAACACATTCATGAATTACTTAAACAAATCACAAATAATAAAAATACTATTAGAACCATGAGCTATGAAACAATAAAGGATCAAGTCTTTGAGGCAGAACACTTTAACCCTTTATAGGTCTGTGGTCGATATTTCGACCACTGCACTCAATAATACTTATGAGCTAGTAATTGACATGAACATTTGCTGAAGTGCAAATTCAGTATTTTTAAATTAACTGTACCCAAAATGCACAATCTTCTTCTTCTTCGCGTGCTATATCAGATTTATCCGATGTTGGCGATCACCATTGCGAAGGCTTCTCAATCTTCTGCAATATGGAATAATTGTCCTGCATTTGGTATCTGAGTCCATTCACGAATGTTTTTTAACCAAGAAACTTGTTTTCTTCCTACACCTCTACGGCACTCTATTTTGCCTTTAAGGATCAGTTGTAAAATTTTATATCGACTTCCCCTTATATATGTCCAAGAAAAGACATTTTTCGATGTTTAACAGTCTTTAGCAGTTCTCTATCTTTGTTGACGCTCCTTAGTACTTCTTCATTAGTTTTTCTTGCTGTCCAAGGTATTTTCAGCATTCGTCTATGAACCCACATTTCCAATGCTTCAATTTTGTTTCATGATCGATACTTTTAGCGTCCACACTTCTGCACTATACAAAAGTACAGACCAAACATAGCACTTAACCATTCTTTGCCTTGGTTCTAAACTGAGATGGTTATTGCAAAGAAATGACTTCATTTTCATAAAAGTAGTTTTAGTTATTGCAATTCTACGTCTTATTTCTATGTCTGGATCTAGTTGGTCCGTTATCACAGTTCCCAAATATGTCATTTTGTGAACTCTCTCAACTTGAACTCCGTTCAATTGAAGCTTTGCATCGGGATGTGGGTCACGACTAAACACCAAAAACTTAGTTTTGTTTGAGTTTATTTTAATGCCCATTTCCTCTCTTACCTCGTAAATACGATCAAGCAGAATTTGAAGACCTTCAATATTATCTGATAGAATTACTGTATCGTCTGCTTATCTAATCACATTAAGTAGTTCCCCGTTGATTTTTATTCCATATGGTTGTCTCTCAAGTGCCTTTTTAAATAACTGGTCCGAGGTAAACATTGAACAATGTTGGCGACAAAATGCAACCTTGTCTGACTCCTCGTTGTATGGGGATTTCATCGGTGTAGTTATCTCCAATTTTACGATAGCAGTTTGATTCCAGTACAAATTTTTAATGACACGAATATCCTTGTCATCTATTCCGATTTTTTTTTTCAGTATTTGCATTAATTTTAGCAAAATCGGTCAATATAAATTCACCATTCGACGTGTTTTCTTTGTTATTAAGTAAATATAGTATAGTTAATATAATTGCACAGTCAAACCTTTATGCTCAACAAAATCATAATAATCTCGACTTAACCGAGGAAGACCTGAAAGTATTTCTAGGGGTTCTTATAATCATGGGATCGCACAAACTACCTAGTTTCAGACATTATTGGTCAACAGATATGATATATGTCAACAGAGATGAACGTGCCAGAAGTTTCATAAATACTTCGTTATTCCATCTAAAAAATAACGAAAATATGGAAAGAAATCAAAATAGCCCTTGACAAAATGCTTGTCTGATTATCTCGGCCTAAGCGAATCTCGTGGCCTAGGTATTTGTAAGCTATTACTTGGTCGATGCTATGGCTCTCAATCAGAATTTTAACGCTGACTACAAGGTTGGTCATAAATTTTGTCTTTGAGGTGTTAATTTTAAGACCAATTGTTTTTGACACTTTATAGAGCGTGTGCAGCATTTTTGTAGCTTTATCAACTCTATCAGATATTAAAACGATGTCATCAGCAAATCTTAGGTGGTTCAGATCTTCCCCATTTATATTAATTCCCATATTATGATCTGCAAATTTAGCATATATGAAGGCAAATCTTATTTATTTTTTCTCGAGTTTTCCTTTTCTTAAGAAAATGTTAACCTATGATTTGTTCTGCTGTGGAACCTTTAGAATAAATCGTAAAGAAAGGAAAAACAATGAAAATGGAAGAACACGATTATTTCATGTCCAATGATGTCTGTTGTTAAATAGAAATATTGGGGCGCAAAGGCGTTCTAGTCGGCAGTACTATGCATAATCCACTTGAGCTTACTTCAGTTTTGCGAAGAATAGTGAATAGTGAACAAGAAAGTGTCAAGTGTCCAAAAGCCGTATGTGATTACAATCGCTATATGGGTGGAGTCGATCTATTCGATCAACTTCATGCTTCTTTATTCAATTTCATGGAAATCCCGAAGATGGTATATGAAGATTATTTACTATTTGATTGATGCAGCAGTGGTAAATTCATACATAACTTATAAGACTAATGAAAATTAGGTCTATTAAATCGAAACCGATGAGTCACCTATATCTTAGAAGTATATTGACCAACGTGCTCATTTAAGGTGTATTGATCAACGATTTCACATAATGCTGTTAGCGTTGAAAGCACGGTGAGACTAAGCGATGTTAAAATCGCATGCCAAAAAAGGGAACATCAACACGTTATGCACTTTGTTCAATGAAAGCGAAGCCAAAACGAATCCCTTGTACACTCTGTGCTTTGCGGATGACCAGGTCATCACCAGGACTCTGAAGACCTTAGTTACATAATGCGAAAAACTATTAGAAGAGTTTAAAGAGTGGGGTTTGGAAGTGAATATGGAAAAAACTGAGTACATGAGTAGCGGAGGAGATCAACATAATCTTGTCTTAGAGGAAAATTAAGAGATCAAACTATGTGACGATACAAATACCTAGGAGTAAAGATCACTCAGGACGGAAAATTAGATGCAGCCATTAAAGAAGGAAATACACAGGGAAGGAAAGCATAGCCTTACTGAACAGCGTACTGTGAGATAAAAACATCTCTAAGGAAAATAAAAGAAGAATATACAACACCATAATAAAAAGTATCACAACATATGGATGCGAATTGTGGCCCCTAAAAGCCAGAACAGAGAAAATTCTTAAAGCAACAGAAATGGATTTCTGGCGCCGCTCAGCGGGAATCTCTAGACGCGACCAGAATAACTAATGAGAGAGTCCGAGAAATTATGGGGGTTACACATAATATTGTTGATGACATCAAAACGACACAACTCAGATGGTACGGACACGTAAGGAGAATGCCGGAGAATAGGCTAGAAGGCCTAGAAGAAGTTGGAGAGAAGGGGTTGATAAAGAAATCAGGGAAGAGAACTAGAGGACGATCTAGGGAACGATAGAATGAGATGGAGATTGGAAATCAGAAGATGTCGAAGAACGTTATAAAACCGACATTATTAATATATATATATATATATATATATATATATATATATATATATATTATATATATATCCATTTTGTGGCATGTGAGGATTTTAATTTAACAAAATATCCAGGAAATGGATAAAACAAAGAAAACTGAAGTAAATTGAATCAAAATTTTATAGTTATTTAATTTTATATCAAAGATAGGATATTTCCAATAAAAAGAATATATGTTAAAAACATTTATTATATACTAACCAGTACTTACAAATAAATATTTCAAGGTTCTGTCTTAACTTCTTTTTTAACCTTCACCTCCACCTGATCTTCCTCTTCCATTTTTACGTCATCATCTAGTGCATCATCTTTACTGTTTTCATGTAGAAGAACATATTCTCTTGAACTAAAGCCGAACTTTATGACATCTTTTTCGAAAAGTTCGTAGTATTTTTTTGGGTCCATTTTTTTATCATTTATGTAAGTTCCATTGGCTGATTCTAGGTCAATTAAATAAGGTCTTACCCTCTTTCCTGAAATAAAAGATACCACATTTTAATCAGTATAGCACATCTAATTCTAATGCAGTTAAAAAAATATACTAAAAATAATTTTAAATAGAAAACATAACTAAAAACGGAATACATGTGAATCCCTTATCCCTTACATGCACCAGAAGAATAGAACTTCTACCAAAACCAAAAAGGAAACAAAACAGCACTCTACACTCTACTTTAACCTGCCTGTCCTTGCTCCTATGTGTATGCAACCTTCATCGCAAACTATGGCATAGTAGCAAGAGAGCTGTTCTGTTTACTCTCTTTTAGTATTTATTAACAAGCAACAGAAACTTCGAAGCAGTCAATGAGTTCATATATCTAGGGACATCGGTTAACCCCAATAACAATACATCTGAGGAAATAAAAAAAGGGCGAATAATAATTGCAACGGTGTTATAATGGTCTATCAAAGTACTTAGCTAACAAACGTCTGTCTTCAAAAAACTCGTATAAGGCTGTATAGAACACTGATAGTCCCCGTTCTCACATACGGATCAGAGGCATGGACGCTAACGAAAACAGATGAATCCGCTCTATCCATTTTTGAAAGAAAGGTGCTACGCAAGATATTTTGGAGCGGTCTGTGAGAACGGAATATGGAGGCGTAGATATAACTTCGAACTGCAGAATATCTACAAGCATACGTTATGGTGGTAAAGATATTACCACTATAATTAAGCGAAACCGCCTGCAGTGGGCAGGACAATGTAGCCCGGGCCCCTGAATCGAACATGATAAAAAAAGATTCTAAACAGCGCAACCTGTGGGAATGAGACGACGTGGTAGACCAAAGCTGAGGTGGATGGATGGTGGTAAACACAAGATGCGGAGAAGATCGGAGTCGGCAACTGGAAAATTCAAGCAAGGGACAGAACAGAATGGCGTAGAAAGCTTGAGAAGGTCGAGGCCCTCTAAGGGCTGAAGCACCAAGATGATGATGATAACAAGCAACAGATTTTTCTTACTAATGTAATAGAACAACAAGAGAACAACAGTTCAACATTGAAGCATTTGCTGACATAGTTCATACAAATTTTCTACTATTGAACGAAGAACAAAAGATTGCGTACGATACTTTGATAGAAGATGAATGTGGTGGAATTTGATGCTGGGGATTGAGAGAAAAACATTACTAATTTTATTGTTATTGGCAAGAATCAGATCGCAGTAGCCCTAGCGTTAACTTAGTCTGGAATGTGTGCAACTTTATTGGAATTTTGGACAAATTGCAAATTTTGTCTTGAAATTACCATTAATCATACAAATTAATGAAACACCAGATTGCAACATCGTCAAAAATAGAGCAATGGCGAAGAACTTACAGGTATGCAAAATAATCTGAAGCTATTTTCTTGTGGCATTGTAAATTAATTACTATTTAACTGGGAATAAGCCACAATTAAAGATAAAAATACGTTTATTGACGTTTTAATTTCCACTTCGGAAATCGTTCTCAAAATACAAACAGTAAATTAAACAAATTTTGTTTTTTGTTACATAGTGAAAAATTCTTCTAATAATTTAATTTTATCTGACTCATTTATATTGACAATTCAGACATACATTATGCATTTTAAAATAGACGACTTTAAAATGATATTGCCAATATTGTTGAGTTGCGCTCCTGGGACGACTTTACTTATAAGATAGTTCATTCGATTACATGAAATCAACTTTAACTTGAGAATATCCGTCAGAAAAAATCATAGCATATAATTCGTCTTTAAAAAGACAAACACATGACATGATGACAGTAAAATTCTCCTGTTAATGATTCCATAGTAAATTATGAGGGAAAAAACCAGGAAAAAAACCTCATAATACTATCCCGACATTGTAAGTATTTGTTCGTGAATTTAGTTTACCTTCAACAAACATCAAAATTCTGATTTTATAAGGAGGATAAAAAAGAAAAATTCAAAGAAGCGGCTCTAATTATGCTAAATGAGGCCAATTGTGTCGCAAATTCCTCGCAGAATGTAGTAGGATCTGGTTACCAATATTGAAAGAGGAAGTTATTAATAAGAAATACCAGTATTAGTAAGTCAGTAACATATAGAGGATACATCATTTATGTTTTTTAAATAACGTAACATATAAAATCAGAATTTTGATGTTTGTTGAAGGTAAACTAAATTCACGAACAAATACTTACAATGTCGGGATAGTATTATGAGGTTTTTTTCCTGGTTTTTCCCTCATAATTTACTATGGAATCACTAACAGGAGAATTTTACTGTCATCATGTCATGTGTTTGTCTTTTTAAAGACGAATTACATGCTATGATTTTTTTCTGACGGATATTCTCAAGTTAAAGTTGATTTCAATGTAATCGAATGAACTATCTTATAAGTAAAGTCGTCCCAGGAGCGCAACTCAACAATATTGGCAATATCATTTTAAAGTCGTCTACTTTAAAAATGCATAATGTATGTCTGAATTGTCAATATAAATGAGTCAGATAAAATTAAATTATTAGAAGAATCTTTCACTATGTAACAAAAAACAAAATTTGTTTAATTTACTGTTTGTATTTTGAGAACGATTTCCGAAGTGGAAATTGAAAACGTCAATAAACGTCTTTTTATCGTTAATTGTGGCTTATTCCCAGTTAAATAGTAATTAATGCAAAATAATCGTTTGGCATGAGTGTACATTTGTCCACAAGAGGTCATTACAGGGACTGGACAGAACTTTGAAAGGTATTCGTAGCTATCGAAAACATGTTTGGTGGAGCCATGATTATATTTTCAGACTGCTCCTTATTTAATAATTATTCCCCATTTAACTAAACGCACGCCTTATACCATCCAATTTGTTGTAGCATTGATGCCACATGAGTTGATTTGGAAAACGCTCCAATTTACAAATATCATGCGAGTGTTTTTGCAATAACATCAAAGTGTAGTCGAAGCTGCTATTAGATATTGGAAATGGTAAAGTCGCTATTGACACCTCGACCGGTTTCATTTCATTACCCAGAGATTTCTGTTGCTTAACAGCCTCGAAAGAGAAGCCTATTGAACTTTAATACATTATTTAATTTTAAGTTCGACGGTCAACTAGCATATAATATAAATAATACAGCTAGTATATCGATCGCTTAAAGCACACTTGTATGTCCATTTTTTCTATTATTGAGTTATGCACTGTACTCTAATGACCTAACAATCTATCATCCTGCACAGATATTGCATGTCCTAAAGCTTTTAGTGTGGTATAAATGACATTTCAAAACTGTGAATTAAGCTCAAAAATGTATTATGAAGGGAACAATTGTTGCATGTCCATACATACAATATCTGTGCTCTTAGCAATCAAAAGAGAAAGGGCACAATATTGTATGTACAGGACATGCAATAATTGTGCACAAAATAATATGTCAATATCAACAAGTCAGTTGGAACAAGGCAGCTTGTGTGGTGTTCGTTTTTGAGGTTATAGTTGTTAAAGTTTTCTTTTTTTGGTGTCAAGTGAATTTATTGTTTATGTTTTATCGGCAGCGCTAATGGAAAAACGACCTAGAAGTTATAAACTGTTGCAGTTAGCACTGAGTAACGAATATTTCAGTGAAAATGAACCACCTAGTGAATTGACAACTAATCAACTCCATCAAAATTGTAAGTAACTATTTTTATAAATTTACGTACGTAATTATAATTCAATCAAACTTCTTATCGCAGCAGTTGTCAGTGTAATGTTAGATTAGAGACGAGTTAGTCCTTGTTAATTTATAGTTATTAGTTAATATAATATGAAAACGTCAGGGAAAGAACATGCACAGTCACTTATTTGTAAAATATTAAGTTCTAAACTATAAAAACTGCATTCCTACTTCAAATTTATGTTAAGTGAACATTGCATGTTCTTTTCATGAAGTCTTCATATTATGTTTGATAATAATTATCGTTTGTATTATTAATAATGTATTACATGAACCGGGAGTAGGAGGGAAGGTAGCAGGGATGATAAGAGGGAGGCGTATGCCCAGCAATGAACACAGTGTTAAAAATCAACCAAAACTTTTAAATTAATATCTAATATTCGTTTTCTAAATACATTTTTTCCTTGTTTCAGCTGACGAACCCAATCCTGATCTTGGTACTTGAAGAAAATATAAATGTGGAAAATGCTGTATACCAGACTTTCAATCCAGTAATATACAGTAATGAAGACATCATCACATCTGCTAGACTAGGTGAGAGTATTTGTACTACAGAATCAAAAAACGACGTGATTCCATCTACTTCATCGCATAATTTACATTCTCCGGCCAAAGCAAGTGAAATCCCTGACTCCTTCAAACCGACCAGGGGAATGGTAGATGACTCAATCCAACATAGTGATTTTTCTGATTCTGGTGAATCATACGTACCAAATTTTCAGAACTGTCTAGTGATGAAAATAGTAATATAGGAGAAGTTGTCCACGAGAATTTTAATCCAGAACTGTCTAACAATACAGTGGCACCTGATGAAAACTGTGGAAGTGTTTTGACTACAGACTCGAATAATGATGCAATTCCATCCAGCTCATTTACCGATCTTCAACATTCTCCAACTAAAGAAATTAATCCAGGTTTAACAATAAAACGAAAGGGGATTGCAGACCCCTCCACTTGGACCAGAAATGTGAGAAAGGAAAAACGTGTGTCAGGTAAGACGTATGTAAACTGCTCTGGAAAAATAATGCCTGAAAAAAAAGTTGAAGATGTTGACTACTCTAAATACTGTTTTAAATTCTCACAAAAAATATGTCAAATGCAAAGAGAAAAGATATTCCAAGATTATTGGTAGCTGAAAGATCCATGTAGACAAAAATCATTTATTTATGCAGTTGTATTTAATAAGAATTTAATCTTACGAGCATGTCCACGTCAAAAAAACTCATAGTAGGACGTAAAAGTATTCAAAGTGTTATTACTTACCGGACGAAAATAACGAAAATCAAAGAGTATGTCTAAGTTTTTCTCTAAGACTTTGAGCATAAGTTTTCAAGTTATAGATCTGGCAATGGCTGGATGTGGGATTCAGGAGCTGTATGTAGGTACAGATAAAAAAAAGGTTGTAAGGCTCCTAATACTACAGATGCAAATATAATTGTTAAAGCTAAGGAACACATCGATTCCTTTCGTCGTATGGAAAGTCACTATTGTAGAAAAGACTCAAAGAAGATTTACTTTAAAGAAAAATGTTACCATAAGAATAATATACCCAAGTATAAATGTATACAGATCTCTTTTCAATAGCTACAAACCTCCATTGGGTTTTTATAAACCAAAAAAAGATCAGTGTTCTCTCTGCAATAGTTATAAAAAAGCTTCAGACAAGTTCGCCTTAGAAAATGACTATGAAGCTCATAAAAGAGAGAAACTGATTCTCTTAAGATGAAGGCTGAAGGTAAAAAAATGGTCAATAGATGACAAAGGTGTAACATTTCGATCTATTTCATTTGACTTGCAGGCAGTTTTATCTGTACCCTATGCTGGTGATCTCAATTGGTATGCTCAAATCTACTACAGAAGCAAACTTTCTGTCTACAACTTTACAATATTTGATTATTGTAATAGCGACGGACATTGTCACATTTTTGGGTCGCAACAAAAATACGGCAGCAGCCATGCGGTAAATACAACACAACATCTAGATACTATTGATTTAAAATTCATGGAAAGTGTCCACTCATATTTAGAAGCAGATTCAATTCATGTCACTATCGATAGGGATCAAAGAAATTACAGGTTCTAGAAAACGTACAAGAACGAATATCCTTAAAAATTATAAAGGGAATATTATTACTGATATGAAGGAGAGATTATATCACTGGACCAATTGCATCCAACAACTATTTAATGATGAAAGAGAAGAACTGTGATTAAAAATCACCGAGGATACCGGACCACCAATATTAAGAGAAGAAGTCATCTATGCAATTAAAAACACAAAAGAAGTTAAAGCTACTGGACCAGATGATGTGCCCATCGAATTATTAAAACTCATCGATGAAGATGTTATTGATGTAATGGTTGAACTCTTTAATCTAATATATCAGACTGCGACAATCCCCAGACAATGGCTGCAATCGACCTTTGTAGCAATTCACAAAAAGCCAAGTGCAACAACTTGCTCAGATCACAGAACAATAGCTTTAATGAGTCACATTTTTGAAAATAATTTACAGCAGAATTGTTAGAACTCTTAAATATGAAATTAGTGACACACAATTTGGCTTTAAAAATGGTATAAGTACAAGAGATGCTTTGTTCGGCTTGAATATGCTGGCTCAGAGATGCATAGACATGAATCAGGACATTTACTTATGTTTTCTAGCCTTTAAAAATGCATTTGATAAGGTTTAACATAAAAAGCTTGTAGATATATTAAAAAGCAAAAATATTGACCGTCGTGATATGAAAATTATATCTAATTTATATTGGAATCAAACTGCCAAGGTAAGAGTTGACAGCCAGTACACACAAAATATCAAAATACAGAGAGAAGTCCGTCAGGGTTGCGTGCTGTCCCCACTACTTTTCAATGTCTGCAGTGAAGCGGTATTTCAAGAAGCGCTCTCAGATTCAATAGAAGGTATATCTAAAGAAAGAAAACTAAATGCATGATCATGACTAAATCTGCACATGCAAATATCCAATTGACTATTGAAGATACTGTAATTGCGAGTGTTAATAACTATAAATACTTAGGAACATGGATAACTTCAAATGCAGACCAAACCAAAGAAATTAAGACACGTATTGAAAAAGCATGCGTATCATTCATTAAACTTAAAAAGTTTCTTTGTTGCCGGGATATAAGGTTAGAACTACGCCCGAGAATGCTTCGGTGTTCTCTACTCTTCTTTATGGCTTGGAAGCGTGGACACTAAAACAAGTCCATCTGAATAAGTTGGCCAGCTTTGAATTTTGGTGTTACAGAAGAATCCTACGAATATCATGGATTCAAAGAATGTCAAACGTGGAAGTAACTTGAAGGATACGAAATGAGGCGGAAATAATATTAACTATCAAAAGACGAAAACTTCAGTACTTAGGACATGTGATGAGAGGGCAAAAATACGCATTATTACAACTAATTATGCAAAGCAAGATCCGAGGAAAGCGAAATGTGGGAAGACGAAGAATATCCTGACTTAAGAACTTAAGGGAATGGTTTGAATGCAGTAGTGCAGAACTTTTTGGAGCGGGTCAACAGAATCCGCATAGCCATGATGATTTCCAACCTTGGATAGAAGATGGAACTTAAAGAAGAAGAATCGATAGGGCTAGAAAACACAAATCAGTTTATTCTACACGAGAATGGGCTCTTCTTATCGAAATGGCGAAAATCAAACCAGGGCCATACAAAACAAATGTTCTAGGCTATGAGGACATGTTTGACTTTCAAGCATTGACCATTCTCGATTATGAACACCAAGTTGAACGTGAATAATAAAGCTGTTAAGTGGCTTAAACTTAAGTGGCTTCGTTTAAAAAAAAAGTAAGCCTTTCACCACACAGTATAAATATAACATATATGATGAAGATTCCTACTATTTGGATGTGTCAGCCACACGCAGGAGTACAAGAAAATCAACTAGCTGGAAAGAAGTCTCATTGAAAAAAACTCCAAGCAACTGTCAATATCCATAGCCAAGAAAAAGAGTTATTATACTTGTGCAATGTTGGAGTTATACCCAAAGACTACAAAGGCGTGATAGATTCCCTACCGACCAAATCAATTAGCCAGACAGAATTCCAATAGAAAGTGATTCTGAAAGTGAAGACGGGTGACGTTCTTTATTGTATTAACATGAATAAATACATTTATATTCTCCTATTTCTTTATTTTTATTTACATAAAACGTCCAATTATTAAATTAAAATCATGATGTACACTTATTGTATGTTCATACTCATTATATTGTCAACTATTGTACGTCCATGCTTTTTTTTTAAGTATTCTTCTTTAATTTTTTTGTGAGGTAAGGTATTTATTTTTATTACCTATTTCAATGTCCATTTAATGACGTATCATAAAAAAATGATGCAAGTTTAATGTTGAATGTAACACACATTCAACACACTACAATAGCTTAAACATTCAAAATCGATTTACTCAAAAAGAACATTTACGGACATACAATAAGTGTGCTATACAGGGTGAGTCATGAGGAACTTTACATACTTCTACCATATGTAGAGTCCCTCAGGAAGCATATCATGTGGCCACTAAAAAATGTCAACTCCTCTTCTTTATTAATTAACAGGGTGATTTGTGTAATTGACCATTTATTTCATTTTACTGTAGTGTTTATACGGCTCATTTGATTTTTTTAATTTTTGCATGATACAGTACACTACTATCAAGCATTCGACTGGTATTAGCTAAACTAAAAAAATCCAGGACTGGCTTTGGAAAAATTAATTTAGGGATTCGTATTAAATATTACACCCTGTATATATATTTTTTAAAATGCAATAAGTGATTTTCAAACTACATAAATAGCCAATGAAAACGACATATGCGACAATGTTGTCGCACTTTTATTAAATTTTTAGTGAACGATCAAATCTTACCAAAAA